CCTCCTCCTCCTCCTCCTCCTCCTCCTCCTCCTCCTCCTCCTCCTCCTCCTCCTCCTCCGCCGCGGCCCCCGAGCGAGGCCGTGCTGGAGGACGTGTGCGAGCGCTTGACGCTGCCCGGCTGCCCGGGCCCCGGCCGGCCTGCCCCCCAGACCCCCTCGGGCAAGGAAAAAAAAGATGGCGCTAGGTGTAAGTCGGGCCTATCCTTCTACAGGAGGGATATTCAAAAATAGTCAAAAAATAGTCTGGGGACTAATGTTTGACTATTTGTGAGCATTGTGGGAGTATGTTTTGAGTATTTATGTTCCGCCCAAAATCCCCATGTAGGGGGGCACGCCCGACTTAGCGCTAGGTGTGTCGTTATGTTGAGCGTCCAGGAGCCTTTACCGGCCCTCGGGACCGTCCATTTACTCGACGCGAAAGGTCCCTACATTTGCATCTCATAGTGAAGGCACGCTTCAGTAAAAGGCATTGTCCTTTTCAATATCCGAGTGTCAGCGAATCCACGTGGAAAACGAGGCCGAGAAAGGCGCCGACGACTACGACGATTTTAACTAGTTGCTTCCTCCTTCCGTCCTCCTCCTCCTCCTCCTCCTCCTCCTCCTCCTCCTCCTCATTGTCCTCCTCCTCTTTCTCTCCCTTTCCTTACGAACACCTGTCAGGAAAATCTATCCGTGAAGACGAGAACGGGCCCTTGCAATACCCCCTGACGCCCCCCCTTGGGAGTGCCTCGCCTGAGACATCCTCGGAAACTGTTCCGAAAGATAAAGGTCTTGAGCACCCAAGCAGGCAAACCGCCTGCCTGAGACATCCCCCCAATCTGGGCGCGAACGGGCCTGTGATATACCCCCTGGCGCCCCCCCTGGGAAGTAAATCAGCGCCTCGCCTGACACATCCTCGGAAACTGCTCCGAAAGAAAAGATGTTGAGCACCCAAACAAGCAAACCGCCTGAGACATCTCCCCAATCTGGGCGCGAACGGGCCTGTGATATACCCCCTGGCGCCCCGCTGGGAAGCCGAACAGATGAGAACGCCAAAATCCGTTAAAAAAACCGGAAGGAAATCGACGGGTGTTGCCTCCTGGAGTCCTCTTGAGACGCTTCTTCGAGGCCTCTTTGGGCGTCTTGGCAGCCTCTTGGGGCCGAGGGCTCGAAATGTCCGTTCGGGGTCCCCGTCTGGCCCCCATTCGGAGCCGTCTTGGGGATGTCTTGGGCTGTCTTGGAGGCCTCTTGGGCCGTCGTGGGGCGATACTTGGGGCCTCTTGGGCCGTCCTTGAGCGCTGTGAAGTCGAACAGATGAGAACGCCAAAATCTGTCAAACCGCAGGGAAATCGATTGTGTTTGCCTCCTGGAGCTTTGGGCGTTTTTGGGTGTCTTGGCAGCGTCTGCGACCGTCTGGAGGCTCTCTTTTTGCGTCTTGGACCGATCGGCCGGCGACCCAGAGCGCTCGGGGGCGCCCGAAAGCCGCTCCCAGAAGGAAAACCCATCTCTTGGTAGTACCAGCCGGACTACTTTTCGTCCAGGGGGACCCCCCCGGGCCGCCCCGCGCACGCGAAGTAGAAATCAGGAGGGGAAAAAACACACAGACACAATTAATCGTCGATTCCCCAGAAAATATAGAAAAAAACTAAGAAGTGGGGGGGAAGACAGAAACCAAGAAAATATAGGAAAATATAGGGAATCAGGTTATTTGTGTCTATTTATTTGTGTGTGTCCCAGTTCCCCTTCAAGAAATACTGCTTACGAGTAGCCCGAGACCGTGGACCGGCGAATTCATTTATTCCTAGCCATACTGTGGTGTTGGATCCTCGTTCTGAAGAAACGAAACGGTCCCCGCGTTCCTCCTTCCTTCCTCCTCCTTCCTCCTCCTCCCAGCCCTTGCCTCTGCCCTCCGCATGTCCACCATTTCGGCACACCCCTCACACGCTTCGTGGCCCCTTAGGGAGATCCACCGAAGACCCCAGTGGCACCGCCCGCAGGCGTCAGCCACCACCCAGTACAGCGTTTCGTAGTCCGATAGGGGGCTCCACCGAAGGCCCCAGTGGCACCGCCCGCAGGCGGCAGCCACCACCCAGTACACCGCTTCGTGGCCCCATAAGGGGGCTCCACCGACGGCCCCAGTGGCACCGCCCGCGTACAGCCACCACCCAGTACACAGTTCATGGGCGAAAGGGGAGCTCCACCGAAGGCCCCAGTTGCACCGCCCACATGCGTCAGCCACCATGCGTCACAGCATTTCGTGACCCCACAGAGAGCACCACCGAAGGCCCCAGGGGCACCGCACGCATGCGTCAGCCGCCACCCAGTGCAGCGCTTCGTAGTCCCATAGGGAGCCCCACCGAAGACCCCAGTGGCACCGCCCGCATGAGTCAGCCACGACCCCAGTGGGACCGCCCGCGTGCGTCAGCCACCACCCAGTACAGCTCTTCGCGGCCCCGTAGGGAGCTCCACAGAAAGACCCCAGCGGCACCACCCGCATGCGTCGTCCACCACCCAGTATTGCACTTCGCGGCCCCATTGATTGGGAGCTCCGCCAAGCCCCAGTGGCACCGCCCGCATGCGCCCCCCCACCGGGTACAGCGTTTCGTGGCTTCGTAGGGAGCTCCAGCGGTCCGCCCGCATGCGACCCCCCACCCAGTACAGCGTTTCGTGGGCCCATAGAGAGCTCCACCGAAGGCCCCAGTGGCACCGCCCGCATGCGTCCCCCTCTCCCAGTGCAGCGCTTCGTGACCCCGTAGGGAGCTCCACCGAAGCCACCAGTGGCACCGCCCGCATGCGTCGGCCACCACCCAGTACAGGATTTCGTGGCCCCGTAGGGAGCTCCACAGAAAGACCCCAGTGGCACCGCCCGCATGCGTCTCCCCCAACCAGTACAGCGCTTCGTGGCCTCATCGTGAGCTCCAGCGAGGGGCACCGCCCGCATGCGTCCGCCACACCCAGTACAACGTGTCGTGGCCCATAGGGAGCCCCACCAAAGGCCCCAGTGGCGCCGCCCGCATGCGTCTCCCCCACCCATTACGGCACATCCCTCACGCGCTTCGTGGCCCCATAGGGAGCCCCACCGAAAGCGACACCCACAGCCCTTTACTCACAACTGCATATGGTTGGGTCCTTCGCCAGGATAGTTTTTGTAAGGCCGGGGACCCCGGAAAAAGACCCCCCTCCCCCAGCCGAGCGAATTTGACGAATTTGACCCACCCCGGGCCTCTCGGGAGCACCCCACGAGAGCCCGAAGACCGCCCCAGAGGGCTCCAAGCGCTCCGGCGCGCCCCCGAAGCGACCCCAGACAACCCAACGAAGCCGTCATACCCCCAAAGATCGTTCCACCCAAGAGGCTTCCAAGAGCACTCCCAAGAAAGCCCCAAGAGGCAAAATGTATTAATTGTCTTAAAGTTTTTGGTGTTTGTGGGGATTCTCCTCTTTTCGGCTCTCCGACGCTTCAAGACGGCGGTCTTCTGGGCGTCCGAAGCCGCCTGGGAGGCTCGAAAATCGTCACACAACCATCCGAAAGGGCTTCCAGGCAGTCCAAGAGAGCCCCAAGACAGCACAACAGGGTTCCAAGGTGGCCTAAGAGAGCCCCAAGATGGCCCCAAGACACCCTCCGAAGCATTCCAAATCGTGACCCAGTCGTTCAGGGAGACCGTGGTAAGAGGCAGGGTGGCCCGAGGAAGCCCCCAGAGGCCTCCAGAAGAGGCCCAGGAGGTCCCCAGAAGGCCTCAAGAAGGCCTGGAAAACTGTTGTGAGGCCCCCAGAGGCTCTCCAAGGATGAGCCTCCGCAAAATGAGCTGAGGAGGACGGGAAGAATACGCAGGATACAGTATGGCGAGAATGAGGAAAAAGAAACATGGACGAAGGATAACGAATAACATTATTTTATTGGCGATGCCGGATAAGGCAACGAGAAGTTATCGCTAATTGTCGGTTTGACCCTCCTGCGATTTCGCCTGCATGCCAAAACTCAAGGACCAAGGTGCATGGCGCGAAGCGCCAATGCAGTCTTGTGTGTATATATAAATATGAATAGACACACGTACATACACACGTACATACATACATACATACATACATACATACATACATACGTACAGACAGACAGACAGACAGACAGACAGACAGACAGACAGACAGACAGACAGACATGCAGGCAGGCAGGCAGGCAGACATGCATGCATACATACATACATACATACACACACATACATACGTACGTACATACATACATACATGCATACATACATACATGCATACATACATACATGCATGCATGCATGCATGCATGCATACATACATACATACACACGCACGCACGCACGCACGCACGCACATACATCCACACGCAGGTTCCCATGTCTCTTGGTGTCATCCCCTTGCCTCTCCAGCCCCTCCTCTGTTGTCTCCGCGGGGGCGCATCGCCTAAAGAGGCCACCGGGTGGGTGTCATTCGGCCCCGGGCCGCAGGAAGTTGTCCCTGCCCTGCCGTGTCGGTCTGGTCTGCCGTGCCGGTCGGGTCTGCCGTGGTAGCAGGTCTTGCCCCGCTCACTCGGAGCTTGAGTTCTCCGTACAGTCGAATCTTATGAGTTACGCGACGGGGGAACGTTTTGCTGCGTGGGGTACGGGGAGGGAGGGGTTAACCCCTCCTCGAAGGGAAGGCGGGGGGAGGATGGAAGAGAAAGCGGCCCAAACCACCTCAGCCCAAACTGGTGGGACACCCTAGCTCTCCATGTCTTTGTATGCCGATGTGTCCATCAAGCTCGCTGCATCTAGACGAGGCAGGTCATCTCTCCTGCTACCTCCTACGTGATCCTACCACCCCCTGGATTGAAAAGTGGTGATCGGCACTATGCCAGGGAACAACCCCTGGGTCTTCGCCGATCGAAAAAAACATAAATTCGACCTTCGATCGATCCCAAGATGACTCCCAGACAGACTCGTGACCCGAACGGAGGAACGGCGACGCAGGGGTGGACGAAACGCGCGGTTGTTAGGACAGCCCAAACGAAGTCGCCACTCTTTGGCGGCGTGAAAAGCGGCCGGAAAATACCCCGCGAGGAATTCTCAGGCGACATCGCCATTCTCCAGCGGCATAAAGATGGATCTGAACAATTTTTTTGAGAAAGTCCCACGCGCAATCGCCACTTTCAGATGCCGTAGCAAATTTTCAGATCGCCCAGGAAGGCGATCTAACAGTTTTTTGGGGAAGTCTCAGGCGGAATCGCATTTTCAGACGCTGACCCCACTTGGCCGTTATAATACTGAAAGGGGTGAGAAATGCATCTGAAATTCCCGAATCGGCCCCAAGTCCAACAGTGTCCCGGGGCCCCGTGGCCTAATGGAGGCCAACCGTGTCTGTCTCGATCCCCACGGTCTCCACTTTTTAATCCAGCGAGTTGTAGAGGGGCGCTCGAGCAGCCGCGTCCCTCCCACCTCCCGAGAGTTGCAATCGGTTCTCGCGGCGTGGAAGTGGCCTCTGTAATAAAATGATGTGTGTGTCCCTACGCAAGACATTGCAGTCAAGACCCTGGAATCATGAAAACGTTCGGAAGAGGTTCGGTTTTCCCCAGATAGTTTCGTGCTTGTCCGCATTCACCCACGCGCTCTTGTGGCCACAACGTGGTGTCGCTCATTACCTGGCGCCCCCTTGTGGTAGCAGGTTCACTGTAGCTGTCACCTCTCTCGGCGACGCGCCATCGGAGTCGGGGTCCAGCCGCCCGGCCGCGGTGCCGAGAGGGGCCGCCCAGTGGCGCGCCCCGCCGGCGCACGCCCGAGGCCAAGACCGGCGCCCCGGAGGCAGCGGCGGCTCGAAGACGACGGGCTCGGATCAGGATCAGCCGCCGCGCTGGGCAGGAGGAGGAGGGAGGAGGGAGGAGGGCGGGGTTCGCCAGGCACTTGCGAGAAGGCGGGGAGTGGCGGCGGGAGCTGCGGGCGGCGGGGGGTAGCAAAGCAAGACGTGTCCCGAAGGACGTCCAGCGACCACCTTGCATGTACTGCCTGCGGCAGGGTGCAGGGCTCGCTGGGTCGTTGGCAGACTCAGACTGGCGGAGGACCCACCCCAGGCTCCGAAGACGGGCGGCTCCGACACCACATCGGGGGCGGCAAAGAGGGGGGTGATGACTAGGGGGGGGTGGATATCATGGCGGGGGCCATGATATTTCCCGGATTTCATGGCGCCTCTTCTTATTTCATTACGTCCCTGGCCCCCCCGCTGGGCCGCCCACATGCCGCCGGTCATGATTTGCACCTCCCCTCTTTGACGCCCCCCTCTTTGCCGCTCCCGACCACAGCCCGTGTGGCATGCAGGTCGCTTGCGCCAGCTCCAAGAACATGTACGGAGTCTCGGACGTTTTCTCCCGTCTGCCGGGGAAAGCCCGCGGCGGCTGCAACCGTTGGCGGAATGCGCTCGGCAGAAAGGGAGGACGGAGGAGGAGGAGGAGGAGGAGGAAAAAGAGGGGGGGAGAGAGGAGGTGGACTCCAGGGTTCCACCGTGACGAGAACCAGCTGCTATCAGACCGGGCAGGAAGCTAAAACAAAGATCTGTAGCCGAAAACGCCCTTAGGCTTGCTCTGGCGTTCGGAGAAGGCAGGGACCCATCGCCGATCACCTCCCCGTTGTGCCCCCTCCCCTGTAGCAGATACCTACGCTCATAATTTCGGGGCCATCCTGGAGGAGGCCTTCCAGCACACTGCTTGGCTATAGTATGCACTCGGGCCTCGATTCTACAGCACGCGAGATCACGTCTGATCCACCAATCGTGTAGTGGATGGGCGGCACGGACACCAAGAGGAGGGCCCCCACAAGGCTGCGCCGAAACACCTTTGCGTGTGTGCGCATTCCGGGGGGCATTTAGCAATGCCGTAGCCTCGGTTGCTTGGACGCGCGTGCGGACTGCGTCTGCCGCATTGCGACGTAAAAAAGTGTGTGTGTGTGTGTGTGTGTATTCCGACCACAGATATTGCAGTACCAATCCTTCCTCCTCATGAGACAGTGCCGTCGGAGATGAGCTCCTTACCTAAACCTCTCGGGGGCCTCAGGGGCCTGGATGGGGTCAGAGTCGCGTCATTCCACTATCAAACAGCGCCTGCGAATTCTCAAGACCATTCGAAGCGCAAGAACATTGACACGATTCACACATGTTCTTGAGCGACTCAACTATGATATTCTTGGATTGCATATTGGATCCCAGCTGGGCAAAATTATCAGCTCGCTCGTTCCCGTCCAAGCAGGCAAATCGCACCCCAGCCATCAATCTCTGGTGTAGCTAGCTATTGTGGTTCGGAGTACAGCCGATGCTGATGCGATCGGCAACTATCACGTCCACACATCTCCAGAAACACCTCCAACACCTCCAAAACTAATCTAGAAGATGTCGGTGCTGGCTCCCCACTGGGCACCTTTCTCCTAGGCCCTGGACAGCTCGAATTAGTCATTGATCAGGGTGATCTGACCAGGTCCCTTGAACTTCACAGTTCACCAGACCCAGAAAACGTCCACGGAAAACGAACAGGTCCGTAGATCGCACCCCATAGATCCCCGCAGTTAAGGACCATACAGCACGACGATCCTGCATGTGCATATAGCGGATGCTGGAGGTAAGCCCCCGAACCATCTACCTCAGGGGCGCACTTCTCCCAGACAATGCCATCAACATCATGCGGCGAAAGGCACCCACTACGAGGGTCATGAGCAGGGTCGGCAAACAGGCCCCGGCATGCGACGTGAGTCATAGGATGTCGCGGTCTTTTGTCATTTCGTCCTTGGGCGAGCAGACGTCGTTCGTCCCCACACCTGTCTTGACGCTCCGTCGCAAGAACCGAGCACCTGTAAATGTGATGCGACGGAGTACCTTCTTCATGACTGCATGCAGTACATGTGGGTGAAAGAGCAACTCCGGGATGACCCACATGCTCTTGCGTCCAAAACCCTCCGGCCATACAGCTTCCTACGAGTCCAGTTCTTGAGTGATCGCTCTGCTCCTTAAGACCCTGTACCATCTCAATTGCGGGCGAAAGCAAAGGAGCACGAACAAACCCTTCAAGACTTTGGTTGTGATAGTTTCCCTGCGGTTTGTGTCTGGTAGTTCTGCCGTCCACCAGTTTGCGTAGCATGTCACTCCAAGTTCTTTCAGGTTGATTGTCAAACCTCGCTCGTCCTCGTCCTGCCACTGGTCCCACTCGATCGCTTGCCAACCTATCCACTTCAAGGTTGCAAGCACCGCTCCAGCTCATGACAGATCCCCAGCTGCACGCCGTGTTTGAGGCATACCTGAAAGCCAGTTCATCTGCTCAGCCGTTGCCCACTGCTTCCACACACTTTCCAGCCAAGTGACGAGCGGCAAGGCATTGGCGTCGAACGTCGGGTCGCTTCTGGGGTTGTGCGTGATCTGCCTCGTGGGGCTCCAAATCTGGGAGAAAAGCAGCTGTAGCCTCAAGGCTTGCAGGAGCGCCGCGAGCGGCGCGGCGTTCCTGCGGCTCGACGCTGGGCGGTCGGCACGAACGCAGGCCTTCGGAGGTCCGCACAGATCTGTTGGATCGACGCTGGTAAGGCGCCGGGAATTCAGCCACGTAAGCTGGTCCGCTAACCCCCTTCTACTTGGTGACCCCCTTCTCGTCCGACCCGAGGGGGGGTCACAGCGCCGATTTCAGAAATCCGCACGGACCTCCGAACATCTATGTTCATGGGATGTTTCTTCTTCTAGGGAAGGTTTTCGCCTCATGTGGCCTCGAGGCTTCGTAGAGGTCTCCGAGGAAGGGTTGAAGTCCCAACCCTGCAAACCTAGGTTTCAACCCTGGAAGCCGAAGCCCACCAACCCTGGAAACCTGTACTCCGAACCCTGGAAATGCGAGGTCCGAACCCTGGAAACACCGGGGCTCCTGCGCTGGAAGCCTGCGCTACTCTCCCTGGAAACGCAAGCCCAGTGGATGGAATATCTGCGGCTGGAGGGGATGATGATGGTGATGGTGATGACGATGATGGTGATGGTGATGATGGTGATGGTGATGGTGGTGGTGATGGTGATGGTGATGGTGATGGTGATGGTGATGATGGTGGTGGTGAGGATGATGACGATGACGATGGCGATGATCATCACGATGATGATGATGATGCTGATGATGATGATGATGATGATGATGATGATGATGCTGAGGATGATGCTGATGCTACTGATGATGGTGATGATGAGGACGCTGATGCTGATGATGGTGACGATGATGGTGATGGTGATGGTGATGGTGATGGTGATGATGATGGTGATGATGATGATGATGATGGTGGTGATGATGATGATGGTGGTGAGCATGGTGATGATGATTATGATGATGATGGTGATGGTGATGGCGCTAATGATAGTGATGGTGATGATGATGCTGCTGATGCTGACGATGATGATAATGATGATGATGATGATAGTGATGGTGATTGTGATGGTAATGGCGATGGCGATGGTGATCTGATGATACTAGTGATGATGGGGGTGATTATGATGGGGGGTGCTGGTGGTAGTGGCGATGGTGATGGTGATGGTGATGATGGTGATGATGATGGTGGTGGTGGTGATGATGATGCTGTGGAGGAGGAAGATGAGGGGGACGAGGAGGAGGGAGCTCGTCATCGCGTTTGGATCATGTCTTCATCCTTGGAGTAGAGGGCGGCCCCGGGAAGAATAGAATATTGCGAAGGCCTCACGGCCGGCGCCGCCGACCCTGAAGAGGGACGACGACGACGTCGACGGCTATGACGACGACGACGCCGACGCTGTGGAGCCGAAAGTTTCTCCCAGGGAGAGGTGCTCTCCCCCCGGGGGTTGGTCACAACCCCCGGGACCTCTCTCCCAGCCTTTGGGGGACCCCCCTTCGGGACCCCCGTCGGGACCCCCCTCTGGGACCCGCTCCTTGCCCCCCACCCCCCCGACGGGGGAGGGATCAAAAGGGGCTTCCCTTCGACTCAATGACGACGTTGCTCGATTCCCCTCTGGCTGGAATGCTTGAGAGGGAGCGGCGACGACGGCGAAGGCTCAAACGGAAAGCCTCTCACACATGCCAACAAGGTCGGCGGAGTTACTTCCCGCCTCCCCATTGCGTTGCCACCAGATCCTCGGGCAGAAATGCTAACGGAAAAGGTGCAAGTTTGTGCGACCAGATGGAGTTCCCGGATGGTCCGACTCAATTTTTGTGATTTGGGGCCTGCTCGGTGCTTACCAAGCAATTGACAGAAATCCCCATTCTAGGTCGGTCGCGCTTGGCGCCAGACAGAAAAGTGGCAGAAAAGGAGAAGTGGGGGGGGCTTCTGGCTCGGACCTCAAGGATCGATAGGCCAAGTTTTCACAGTTTGCATTCGTATTGAAAATCAGAATCAAGCAAGTTTTTGCCCTTCTGGTCCACATGAGATTTCTGTTCTCAACGAGCTCACATAAGGACACCTGCGTTATCATTTGACAGATGTGCCGCCCCAGCCAAACTCCCCACCTAACGATGTCTTCCGCACAGATCAACCACCAAAACAAACAACCTTAGATCCAAAACTCGTTGTGGTGCAAGTCGCAGTCTAACAGAATCAGTAAAATAATATTTAGTCGTTCTACAAAGCCAGACTAGAGTCAAGCTCAACAGGGTTTTCCCCCGCTGATTATCCCAAGCCCGCTTCCTTGGCTGCGATTCCGCTGGACCGTAGATAGGGACAGCGGGGATCTCGTTAATCCATCCATGCGCGTCACTAGTTAGATGACGAGGCACTTGGCTACCTTAAGAAAGTCATAGTTGCTCCCGCCGTTTACCCGCGCTTGTTTGAATCTCATCACTTTGACAGTCAGAGCACTGGGCAGAAATCACTTTGCGTCAACACCTTTTGAGGCCAGAAATATGAAAATTGACTTTAAAAATATAGTTGAAAGCGCCTGAGATTTCTGAACGGGACGCGAATGGAACCGGTGTTGCTGGGTAAGATTGTCGGGCGCATGACGCGTTTGATCGTCTGTTGCCTTGTGTGTCAACGCCAGAGGGAGGTAGGGGCCGCTCGTCGATTATCCGCCATGTTCTGGCACGTTTTCCGACCCTTGCGATGCCACGTTGCGAATACAATAGGTTAATCGTTTTCGCCTTCTCCCCAGACATTGCCAAGTGACGGGTCGAACAAAATATCATGTGTTTCCGCCGTCTTACGTTGCCACGTGACGAGCAGAGTGGGATAGGATTGTTGCTGGCCTTGCGCGTTGCCACGTGGAGAGCATAATAGAAAACGCGCGTCCTGGTCCCCCCTTCTGCATTGACACCAGATCTTCGGCCAGAAATGTTGACAAACAAGGTGCAAGCGTACGCGAACAGATGGAGCGTGCAGATGTTCCGACCCAATTTGGTGATTTGGGGCTTGCTTGGTGTTTCCTAAGCAGCCGACAGAAATCACCGTTCTAGGTCGGTGGCGCGCGGCGCCCGACAATGGAGCGGCGGCAAGGGGGAAAAGGGGGGATTCTGGCTAGGGGGTCCGATGGGGGAGTGACGGGGGAGGTAGGGCCGCTCATCGATTCACCCCAATGTTCAGGGAGGGTCTGGCACGTGGTGGGCAGAGAATGACATTATTTGCTTTGTTCACCCTCGTTGCCACGTGATGAGTCGAGTAGAATAGTACGTTTTCCGTTCCCTGCGACGTCACGCGGCGAGTACAAGACCATTATTGTTCGCTTCCCCCAGGCGTTGCCAAGTGGCGGGCCGAGCAGAATATGGTGTGTTTCTCCCGCCTTACGATGCCACGTGACAAGTAAAGTGGAACAGTATGTTGTCCGCCCCCCTTTCCTTGCCACGTGGTTGGCGGAATCTCGTCTTGGTTTTCCGCCCGTCCCCCCTCCCTGCATTGCCAGCATAACCTCGTGCAGAATTGCTAAAAAGGGATTTCTCGAGAAGGCCGGGCAGAAACTCCGGGTACATCATCGATGATGCAGCATTCAATTTCGTATTAGGCGCGAGTTTCGTTTTGGAAATGAAGCGATTTCCATTCTCTAGCTATCCAGTTGCTTGCGCCAAGTGTGCCACCGTGCCGACGACGATACCTCCAGCGGTTCTGAGGTTCGGGTCTCGCTTTCCATGGGTGGGGTTTAGATTTCGTTTGTCCTGTGTTGGGTTTTCTTTCGAGGTTCGGGTCTCGCTCCCCAGGTTTGGTGTTCGTGTTTCAGGGTTTCCGCTTTTTGGTGTACGGTCCTAGATTTCTTGGGCTCCGACAGCGACCCTAGAGGCGGTGCAGGGCCGTTCTGAGAAGCTTCTTGTCATTTCAAACAAGACGTCGCACCCTCGCCCCGCGAGCCTTGGCAACCGTAACTGAATTGACCGTTACCAGCGCGGGCGTTCAAGGCTGAACGCTGCCAGTGGCCTGGAATCTGCCGAAATGGCCTGCAACCGGAAGGCCGCGATCGTTCAAGGTTGAACGATCCAGGCAATATCACAAACCACTACCGACGTCATCACGACGGCGACATGCCGTACGTGGAGCATCCTCTGCAGCGTTTTCCCCTTACCGCATGCTTCGTGATCATCGTGTCTCATCAGTTGTCTCTCGAAGGAGTTCAAGGAATGGATCGACAAGATGATCGACGACTCCATTGGGCACTGGCGTTCGCGACTGTATGACAAATATCAGTGACCCAGGAGGATGAAGAAGAGCAGGTGAGGGAGGATCCAGGAACGATGGCAAGTCGAGTTGTCGAGAAGATGACGATAGAGAAGCACATACGTATTGAAACAAAAATCCCAACACATACGTTCTGAAACGAAAAAAACAACACGCATGTGCCTGCATGTATCTATGTATACATGGTCCCAGGCTCCAGGCCCACGCCCCCCCCAAATAGGATGGGTCTCAGGCTCCCTCGGCCCCTCCCCCCTGATGGAATGGGGGGGAACGACGACGACGACGACGACGACGACGACGACGACGACGGCGACGATGACGACGACGACGACGACGACGGCGGCGGCGACGACGACGACGGCGACGACGACGACGACGACGACGGGGACGCCGCCACCAGCGCCGACCTCCGGAGCCCTCCGACGACGACGGCGGCGGTGACGACGACGACGACATCCGAAGCTCTCCTGAAGCACCACAATACCCCGCCACACACGCCACACCCACAGCACCACACTGCACCCACAGGGGGGGGGGGGGGGCATCGCGCGGGGGGGGGGCCCATGGCATCAGCATGAGGGGGGGGCCCAGACCCTGGACCATACATGCATGTTTCTGCGGCCAATCACCCCCGAAAAGCCGCGCATCATATTCGCAGACCCCGCCATCACGCGGACACCTCCCCCAAAGGCCGCCCCAGCAGCCCCCAAGGAGCCTAGGATTAACCTGCCCCCAGACGGCCCCAGCAGCCAAGATGGGCCAAGACGGCCCCAAAGACGGGCCAAGAGGGCCCCGAGTCGGCCCAAGCGGCCCTCAAGACGGCCCAAGATGGTTTCGACGGCCCCGGAGGCCCCCAGGACGTCACGATAGGACTCGAGGCGGACCCCGAAGAAGGCCCCTAAGAGGCAAAAGGTTGGTTGGCAATTCCCTTAAGATGTTTTTCTGCGCCCTCGCCTCGTCGGGCTCCTGACGCTCCAACGGTCCAAGAAAGCCCACAAGATCGCTTGAAGAAGGCCCAACAGGCCCACGAAAGCCCCAAGAGGGCCCCAAGGCAGCCCCGGAGGCCCCCAAGAGGGCCCCGACAGAGACGTTCCGAACCCTTCCCCCAAAAGATGCCCCGAGACCGCCAGCATGCCCCCAAGAGGCCCCAGACGCGCCCAAGAGACCCAAAAGTTGCCCCCAGATGGCCCCAAAAAATCCTTCCAAGAGGCCCACGAGAAGCCTCCCAAGAGACCACAAGAAGCCACCAATAGGCGTCGAAGCAGATCGGGACCCACCCCATGAGATCCAGGGTGGTGCATCACGCCATCACTCCCCCTCCAGAATTCCCAAGACGGCCTCGGACAGCACCCGCCCCATGTCCAGAATCCCCCAAGCGGCACCACACAGCCTCTCGGTGACTCACGATGACCCAAGAGGGCACCGAAGCGGCCCCAAGAGACCCCCCGGGACGGCCAAGCATGTCAAAGACGGCCGAGCGGCGCAAAGATGGACCAACAGGCCCCCAACATGACCCGAGGCCACAAGAGGGCCCCAGAGCGCACGCACCCAGGAGGCCGAAAGCGTTGGAGCACGTACTGATGCTGAAAGCTGTGATCGCCTGTTGGGTTCCGCAGTCGCCAAGACCCCAGGAGCGCCTCAGGACGACACAGAATCTGCCCAATGGAGACCCAATGCAGCCAAAGAAGAAGAAGAAGAAGAAGAAGAAGATCCCGCCAGAGGGCCCCAAGAGAGCTCCCAGACGGCCCAGATGGGTCAAAGTGGGCCCAAGCCAGCCTGAGAGGGTCCCACGAATCCGCCACAATGGCGCCAAGTTGGCCCCAACAGGAACATGAAGAGGAAGGGGATGTGGATGAGGGAGGCCGCAGCAGAAAAGAGGGTAGAGGTTGCAGAGGAGGAATTTGGTTGTCGGTGTGATCACTGCGCCCAGGTCCGTCATTATGCCTCTCTCTCTCTCTCTCTCGCGTGTCCGTTCCACGGCTACGGCATATCACATCTGCGAGTTTTACCCTGACACGTCTCAACCCCAGAACGGCGACTCCTCTTCTGCCGGCCCAAATGCACGACAATCAAAATTGCACGGGTTGCCGTCATTGCATTGCCAAGGGCGAGCTCGCTGAACCACATACGCCTAGACAGTTGCTGGAGCTCTGGACCGATTCGAGTCGCCGTAAGAGAAAGAGCCGGGTAGGCCGAGGAGGCGAGCGCGAAGCAACAGGACGAGCAGAGAGGAGGGAGGGAGGGGACCAGATGCGTGCCGGCATGGGGGAGGGGAAGGAGAAGGAAATGCGAAAATTAGACTGCAGCGAGCAAGTAGGAACAAGCGGAAGCGTGCGAGACGGAAAGCAGGAACGGTGCATGAAGGATCAGGTCAAGGGAGAACGGTAAGTCTTTTGCGTGGGAACAGACCCGAGGGGCAGGTACCATTTTACCGATGTCCATTGACCTGGACTATCACAACCAGGGCTGAAAGTCGGCAACGCAAGCAGCTGACGCGCTCGCTTCAAAGATGTAGCGACGCTGTTAGCGTGTTGTTATGGCAGACCTGGCGCTGATATCTGACGCTTCTTCTTTCTGTTGACAGCAGGTGTTGTTGACCATGGAGCCGCCTGCTCGCAGAAAA